CCAAAAACAGCCAAGATCTACTCCATGGGGGCGGGGGGGAAGGGGGGGGAGCGAGGGCCCGCGCCGATCGGCAAAATGAGGCATGACAAACGATCCCCCGGACGCGTTCCCCTGGACTTGCTGCTGGCCGTCGAGGATGCCGCCGACCTCGACGAGGCCAGCCTGCAAGTCCGAGGCGGCGGACGGGGGCGGGCGCCCCACGCAGCTTGGATCCAATTCTGCTCGCGCGGGTCCCAGGCGCGTTTCGGCGCCGACCGCTCGCTCGAGAGTGGAAGCGCCGGAACGCTCGTGCGCGCTTCGACAAGCCGACGGAGGTACAGCGGAGGCCAGTCCACAAGAAAGCTCCCACGAGAAACCCAACCCTGAGACCCCAGGGCGCCCATCGATTTTTGTTGGTGTGGGAACGCCACGCTTTCTATGGCAGAACCATCGAAAACCAAGAAACCCGGGGCAGCCTGGAGGCAAGCAGGGTGCTTCTTGGCATGGGCCCCAACCGTAGATCATGCGATCGGGCGGTCTGGCGACAGAGCGCCTGGTCCGAGTGCGCTTCCACCAAGGCGACGGGAGAGCTGCTCAGGGAGGCGCGGGCTTCCGAGACGGCTCTCCTGGACCTGAGATGAGAGCGTTCGAGCAAGTGGGGCACCATTGGCTTCCAGAAGCCGCAGTGGCTGCGGGGTTCCCCCTCTAGCACTTGAGGATGCAGATTTCGCTCCATCGTGCCGAATATGAGACGCACAGAGACATACTAGTACTACATGTTCTCCTCGGAGGTGCGCGTCCGACCCGAACATTTAGTATAGACATCTTGTAATATACCGTTTCCCGAGCGGTACGGCCAGAAAGCGCCCGCCGCGAAACATGCACTACAAGATTTCTCGGTGCGCGCGTCGCCCCTGGGGGGGCGACGCACATATAGTATAAGTATGTTGGGGGGACGCCGATAATATGTCATTGTTGTTGCCTGGGGCAGGTCGTGGCTCCGCCTCCGGTGGTCGAACTGACCATTTTTCCTGGCGACGGATGCGTCACCGTGCTGTGCACGCAACCTGGGGATCGACTTCTCGTGTGGTCGACGTCTCGGGCAGCACGTGCGTCGTGGGCGTTTCGCGGGTGTTCGCCGGAGATTGCGTAGGATTGGTTCGGTTCGTTCTGGGCTCAAGTAGCGCCTCGCGGCGAGGAAGGTGGCTTGGGCTTGGGTGCACGCCCGCTTCCCACCAATCTCGAGACTGCTCGAAACACTGGATTTGCTGCGCTTGTCGGGTCCACTTCTGGCAGGTCGCGGACCCTCTCCGATGTGCAAGAAAAATGCTGATCCGATGTACCACTTGCACGCCTGTGCTCACCCTTTGCAGAGCGATGTGGGAGAGATGGGCGCTGTTCCACGTGGCTCGGGACGGGATGGAGGGACCAGCTTCCACCTCGCTGTGGACTCAGTTCGTAGTACCCGTTCAGCGCGTGCAGGTTCACGATGGCCCGAGCGGGCTGGTCTGATGTCTCTCCCCACGCTTGGAGGGCGCACGGGGTCATCGAGCTTGAGGTGTCGTCGCTCTGCCCGTGGGTGGTTAAGAAGCATTTGCCGCATGCAGTTCAGGCATGGCAGTGGCAGCAGGTTTAAGCTTAGGTCGGGCGTGGCGTGTCCCCCTACAGGCGGATTTTGGATGAAAAATTAAAAACACCCCCAAAGTACTCCCAACAATATTCAAACATATTCAGAAAATCGTCCCCCGACGATTTCCCTACCTAGGCTCTGCCTGGAAGGGTTCTTACAATTAGGCTTAAAGGGCCGGCCAGTGGGGCACGCCCCGGGCGGTTCCCCCAGTATCCGCCCCGCGGTTCCCCCAGTGACGTTCCCTTAGCTTCGCGTTGCTTGTCTCATCTTAGCTTAGCTTATTTCATCTTACCTTAGCTTAGCTTCATCTTACCTCAATTTTACCTTAGCTTAGCATCCTTCATCTTAGCCTCGCTGAGCTTTAGCATAGCAGAGCACAGCATAGCATAGCGCAGCATCGCATATCATAGCATAGCATAGCGCAGCATAGCATAGCATAGCATAGCATAACATAGCATAGCGCAGCATAGCACAACGCAACATAGCATAGCATAGCATAGCAGAGCATAGCGCAGCATATCACAGCGCAGCATAGCATAGCATAGCATAGCATAGGATAGTAAAGGTGAAATCAAACGCAAACACAAAAGCAAAACACCAGAAAAAAAGCAAAAGCAACAGCAAAAGCAAAGGCAAGGCCAAGCAAACCAACAACAAAACCAATGCGAAATTGTAGATGTAGATGTAGATGTCTGTGTAGATGTGGATGTAGGTGTAGGTGCATATGTAGATGTAGATGTAGGTGTAGATGTAGGTGTAGATGTAGATGTAGATGTGAGTCTCGCTGTTGATGTTGATGTAGATGTAGATGCAGGTGTAGATGTTAATGTAGCTGTCGGTGTAGATGTAGATGTTGCTTTCCTAGATGCTCCAACTCCTAGGTAGGGTCGC